TATTGCCACAATTAACTTGTTGAAATTTATTCAGGTCTTACAAAGTTTTTTGAGTTTGAGAATAACTTGACACATATATATATCCACAGATAATTCTTGATGTCCCAACAGTAGGAGGACGGCTGATGCTTGTTGACATGGCTGGTTCTGAAAACATTGATCAAGCTGGTCAAACTGGATTTGAGGCGAAATGCAGGTACTCTATCAAGACTATCTGTTAATTGCATCTTCCTGGCCTTTTCGTTTTGTACTTAAAAAAAATCATCCACAGTAATTCACTGCCAACTCTGGATTGCCTGAGTGTTTGGTTTTTAAACTTTTTCTATCAATTAACATTGATCTATGCTTCCCTGGAAATCGCAGACAGCAAAGATCAACCAAGGAAATATAGCATAAGAGAGTGGTTGAATCCATTGCAAATGGTGATTCTCATGTTCCTTTCAGAGATAGCAAATTAACAATGCTTACAGGTGGGTTCCAATAAATTCTGCAATTTTCACAAGGTTTTTCTGCCATTTTTGTTTGATGAGTTTTTCCCTTTTTCTTCAGGATTCTTTTGAGGACGATAATCAAAAATTTAATGATTCTGTGTGCAAGCCCGGATCCAAAGGAAATACACAAGACTATCTGTACCCTTGAGTATGGTGCAAAGGCAAAATGTATCATTCGTGGGCCTCATACACCAATCAAGGATAAATTTGGCACTGAAGATTCTTCATCTGCAGTCATTTTGGGACCAGGATTGCTGCCATGGACCAGTTTATCTATAAGTGCAACTAGAGAACAAGCTGAGAGAGAAAGAGGCAATGAAGCACATGAAAAGCTCTAAAGAAAGAAGAAGAAGTTGCTCGGTTGAGAGAAAAACTCCAAGTTGTGGAAGGGAAGGAACTGAAGTAAGTGAACAAGAGATCACCTGAAGGTGACAGAACGGACTCAGGATCTCAAACGTGAGCTGGAGAAGAAATTGGAGGAGTGCAGAGAATGGCTGAGAGGTTTGTTGAAATGGAGGGAGAGAATGGAAGAAAGGATACTGCAACAGCAGCAGGAAGTTGAAATGCTGAGAAGGAGGTTAGAGGAGATTGAGTTTGAGCTTCGCCATTCAAGGGATCAAGAGGTTCGTGGTTCAAGGGACTTAGATGGAAGCAGCTTTGCCAGAAGGCTAATGGGATTTATCGACGAGGACCAGGGTGGTAAAATCAATGGACCTAGACATGGTGATGAGCCATCTACTCGTGAAGTGAAATATGTATATGGGAATTTTAATCAAGTTGATAGTACCAATATCCAAGGCTTTAACAATTATCCTCATTCAAAAAAGCTGCTGAGGTTTTAGATCCCAATGTTTTTACATCTAATATGGTGACAAAGTAGTGTGTTTGAGCACTGTATATGAGGAGGAAGAAGTAGAAGAGGAGGAGGAACATAAAGAGAGATGTGGGGATGAAGAAGTGGAGAAGGTTATAAGAGGAAAGGAAGGGTGTTCGAGCAGGATGGTTGACGAAAGTAGCCCTGGTATTAGTATTACTGCTGGCTCCTTGGATCTTCTCCTCAAAAACTTATTGACATCTGGTGAGCTGATAATTCGAAGGATGCAGTGGCCTCCAGAAGAGTAAGAATTCAAAATATTTACCCTTTGTGGAAACAACAGGGAGCTCTGTCAACAGACAGGAACTCCAGTCTTGCAAAATGGAGTACTGAAAACATTGATCCTCTTGCATCTCCAAATGGGAGTTTCTCCGGTAAGACTTTGGACTGAGACTCACTATTACATCTTCACCAATTTGTTTATGCTTTGTATATGAAGTTCTAATGGAGTTCACTTGCAATTTATGCAGGATCCTACCAGCTCTAGTCCTGAAAGAGAAAGAAACATCAGCAGTGGCTACCAAACTCCATTCGGAAACCTGTCAAATGGCCAGCTGCTCCATGCCATTAAGTCCAATTCAGAACACAGTGCCTCTCACACCAAAGCAAAGTGATTGTCAATCTCCCAAGGTAGCTCCACATCTAAGTCCAACACCATTCATTACTCTTAGAAAAAATAAGGTTTGATGCTGAGTGATGAATGCGTATTTCTATTCAGCGATGTGTTGAATGAAGTGCAGTTTTATATATTGACATTTGTACTGTGGCTAAAATGTTGTTTTGTTGGTATAATGGGAACAACAAGCTTGTATACCATTATATACATATATAGCTTGCTTTTGATGGTCGATGAATGTCAACTTTTTTATGTTTACTCTAAGTTTCAGTGGTTACATGGTTATTTAATAGATGACAATCTCTAGTTTTGAATGCACTTATTACCTAGGTTAACGGATTTAACCAAAAAAAAAAAAAAAAAAAAAAAATTCTAGTGGATAGTGGTCGATAATCTGGGATGGGAACGTACGCAGTAATATTGGAGGTGTAATTTACTATTTGATGGTAAATTAGAATGTGCTTAATGGTAGCAAACATGTAGGGTACAATTTTTAGAAATTGTCATGTAGGGTACATGTAAGATGTGCTTAATAGTAGCAAACGTGTAGGGTACATGATCAAAAAAATTTTATTGCTGATTCAGCCTTCTGGTTCTGTAGAAATTGTGACATTGAGATGTGCTTAATGGTAGCAAACGTGTAGGGTACATGATCAAAAAAAATTATTGCTGATTCAGCCTTCTGGTTCTGTAGAAATTGTGACATTGAGATTGAGCTAGAATCAGGATTTTGAAAGAGTGTGTCTAAGATAATTCTCCACTACTCTTTAAATATATCTCTTTTATTATCATTCTTCTACGTTATTTTTTGGCTTCATTCAACTTTGTTCTTTCATCTTTTAATTAACTATGTAATGCTTCAATCTGGACTAATATGGGTTTATGCGGTTTTGGGGAACTGATTACTGAAAACAAAGGATTATATATATATATGCATGCCACATATACATGCCACATTTAAAATCCCAAATAAACAGAAAATAGAAATTTTTGCCTTTTGGGCGGTAGGAAAGGAAGAAATTTGACACCTTTGTAAGCATTTTTTTTCCAGTGTTTATTCAATTTTTTTTTGGGTAAGATTTTACTTATAAACAATTGCCCTCAAGCATCTGTATCTTTGAAATAATAATTTATCTTCTACTGTAATAAGTTTCAATTAAGGTTTCGATCATGATTATTTAAATAATAATGATAAGTTAATTTAAACAAAGAAAAAAGGACTATAAATGATTAATTTGTTATTCAAATATTGAGAGAGAAAAATGTTTTCCGTGGAACCTGCAATTCATCAACTTTATTCTTTTTTTTTAATAATTTTGTAGTGAAGATGAAATGCTTTTTTAAAGGTAATCTTTCTAGTTTGGAACAACTTGTGATTATATGAAACTAGTACCTTTTTAATTGATTGCATGCGTTTTCAGAAGGGAAAACTCTTTGGTAATGTCCGGTATCAGGTCCTCAAGTTCTGTGTTTCGCTATTTAAAATTATAATATTCATTGAACACTTCAAATTTGTTGAATCTTTTTGATTTTTGTGATATTTCTTATGTTTTTTTAACAAATTTATAATTTGACTTATGATAATAATTAACAACATATGTGAAATGATCAAGTGAATTATCTTATCATTTGACGACACAAAAAACTTAGGCCACTTACAGTTAATTGTGTAAACTACTTCTAGATAGTTTGACGGTTGTTCGAGACTTTTAGATGTATGTTTAAGAGGTTGAATTTAAATCTCACAATTCAATAAGAGGTAGTTTTAGATGTTATTTGACCGTTAATTTAAGGACTTCAAAGACTCGTTAAGATATGTGTAAACTGATTGGAATAAAAAAAAAAAAGAAATTGTAAATATAAGTCATTCTTTAAAGCATCAATGAAGAATATATAAAACCATAGGCACTTGTTTGTGAAGAGTCTCTTTTCATTTCGTTTATCATACCCTTGCTCAAGAGTCGAATTATTTATTAATTACTTGGTGTTAATATATGTGCGTTTTCAAATTAGAAAAAAAAATTGTCTTTAGAGAGGAAAAATTTGAGATGTAAAGAAAGTTTTTGGGATAATATTAATTTCCATAATCGAAGTGAAAAAATATAAAAAAAGCTTCCAAATATTTTAAAAATTGGATAGGTAAACTTAAGGTAGTTTAAACTATTAAATCAATGAAATAAGTAAACATTCTTGGTGTCAGGAAACTCTTGGGTTAAAATATTGTTGTCATTCATACCAATAAACTCATAAGATTGTAAAAATAACTTAAAATTATTTTTATAAAAATGTTAAAAATTAATCCCGTCCATTTAGAGATGGCAATGGGTCCGACATTTTCGGGTACCGACCCAGCCCGGCATGAAAGGGGCGGGTTTACCCGAGGTTGGCGGGCTTGGGCCTGGGCTTGATTTTAAGGCCCGACCTCGGGTACGGGCTGGCATGGCATATCTTTAGGCCGGCCTGTCCCGAAAATTTAGTATTAATTTTTCTAATTTACCCTTAACTATATATTTAATTACCCTATATATATATATAATATATATTTTTTTTTTTTTTTCTCAAACCTTAACCTAATTTTCATCCCATATTGAAGGTTTAACATGTTAAAATTGCCTTTAAATGAGTTAGTAGGTTTGGTTCAACTTATTAAAGTGGATTTCACCATAAATATTATGCACAGCTGAAAATTTAGTATAATAAAATATTATGGAGTTTTAATTGTCACTTATTGCTTAAATTATTTGCGGAAATAGCTTCAATTAATATTAAAAACCATTTCTAAAATTAAAAATATAAAAAAAATTTAAAATTTATTAATAATTAAAAATAAACATTATTAAAAAAGGCAGGCTTGTATCGGGCCTACGGTTATAAAAACCCGTCGGGCCGGGTTTGGGGTTGCCTATCATACCCGTAGCGGGCTCGGGCCAGGCTTAGGCCTGTGTCATGAGGTCGGGCTTGGGCCTGGGCCAAGGGGTACCTGGTCCGGCCCGGCTCATTGTCATAGTCTTGTTTTGAGGTCAGCCCTTGATGAAATCTCTGTTGTTGATCCTCCTCCTCCTGAATCTGAAGACGTCAACACTGAACTCATTGCTTCCTTGAAGCTCAAGTTGCTGGTAACCTTCTGTTTGGCTTAGTATTTTTTTTTAATTACTAACCGGATGAACCTATCATTTCCTCAACTGCGTACTTCTTCTTTTATTCATTCTCGATTAAGAAACAGAAATGATGTGTTTTTGGTTTTTACTGATAATATTTTTAATTGGGTACTGCTAAAGTTGTAGGTCGCTTTATATTTAGGGATATAATTAGGTTTCAAAATTAGCTGCTCAATTCCATAACAGAAACAATAACTTGAGTAACTCTTTGTCTCATTACTTGTGGTCATGCTTATTGTGCAATTGATGGTTTTAATTGTTTAATTTAGATGAAAACACCCCAAGTTAGTTAATGAGGCAGAATTGTTTATGTTTGGTTGAACTGTTTACAAGATTTTTAGGCCATGACTCTGAGGTGGAGGAGGCTTAAGAGTTGAATGTTGGGAGCTGATGATTTTTTTTTTTTTTTTTTTTTTGATTAACCTCTGAATCTTTGAAAGTGTAGAGAAAAGTTTGAATGAGTAACCTCTGAATCTTTTATGTTTCTGACTCAATTTGAATGAGTAACCTCTGAATCTTTTATGTTTCTGACTCAAATCTCCATCAGTTAAATTTTAAGTGTGGACATGGTTACAAGTAAATTTGATTGCCTATCAAGAAGTAGATTTTTAATTTATGTTGTATATTGGTAGCCTATTGACACGTAAAGGTTGATCAAATACAGAGTGCTGTGTCTGGGCTAAATAGAGGTCTTGCTGCAAGCACAGATGATCTGCAAAAGGCTGATGCTGCTGCCAAGGAGCTTGAAGCTGCTGGAAGACCTTTAGATCTCTCAACCGAACTTGATAAACTGCAAGGGCATTGGAGATTGCTGTACAGCAGCGCATTTTCATCTCGTACTCTAGGTGGGAGTCGCCCTGGACCTCCCACCAGGAGGTTGCTTCCCATTACTCTAGGCCAGGTCTGCCATTTTATGATAATATGATTTTTCATTATCTATTTTGGCATATTGGTCTGTTTGATAATTAGTAGCAGTGTTTGAAGGTGGAAAGGCAGTGACTTTACCTGAGTGTTGGGCCCAAAAAAAAAAAGTATTATATACGTAACTATAAAAGCACTTCACCTGTAGACATGGCACTTGGGTAATATGGCAAATAACCAGCCACAAGACTCCTAGGATGTTATCAATGCCAATTCTGATGCTCTGAAACCATTTAATTTGAAGATTCGGCAGTTAATTTAAGAGAAAATACAAGCCATCTGGTAACAAGTTGATCAACTTAGATGCTCCATAACCATCTGCTTTAAGCAAGCCATGTGCGCAAATTACTTTCTGTCTATAAAGTCATGAATTTTCTAAGATCTAAATGAACATTGTTGTGTTTTCAGGTCTTTCAACGAATTGATGTCTTAAGTAAAGATTTTGATAATGTAGTTGAACTTGAATTGGGTGCTCCATGGCCTCTGCCTCCTGTTGAAGTAACAGCCACATTAGCCCACAAATTTGAACTTATAGGTTGGTGCTTCTTGGATCTCATTTCTAATTTTCTAGATTATTTTGCATCTATTGCATAGTATTCTCTGTTGTGAGAGAGATAGCTCTTCTGATAAACCTTTCCTTTTGGTGAGAATAGGATCTGCAAAGATTAAAATAATATATGAGAAAACAACTGTGAAGACAACCGGAAACCTATCACAACTGCCACCCTTGGAGATCCCTCGTCTTCCAGATGCATTAAGGCCTCCATCTAATCCAGGAAGTGGTGACTTTGAAGTTACCTACCTTGACAATGCTACCCGCATAACCAGAGGAGACAGAGGCGAGCTTAGAGTTTTTGTGATCTCTTGATGTTTTTTGCATGTGCAGAGTCTATTCCATTCCATCCCTCGAAAACTCCAGCTTCTATGCCCCATTGTATGTTCTCCTCTTTTTCTTCCTAGTCTCCATTATTGTTTTATTTTAGTTTTACTTCTGATCGACATATACACGAAGTAGTACAAGGAATCTAAATGTAAAGCAGTTTTTTCCAGAAACAAGTAAACCATTACGTAATTGTATACTCTTAACATTATACATGTACTCTTTCATCACTTCATGTGCTATATTGTATTGTCAGCCTAATGTCTAGGGATTGCTTGATTAATTTCACAACAAACAGGCAGCATCTAACACATTTCAGCTCTTGAATTATGAAAGGGTGTTTTGCAATCATCTTGTTCATTTAAATTAAATGGAAGCTGAAGTTGAACCTATTATCCTTATCCTATAACCTTTCTGTCTGCTACGATCATGCCAGATTCACATTTTTCTTCTTTCTTGTGATGAAGTTTCATTTATTAGTCGTTTTAATAACAAGTGGGAAAGAAATTAAAGGCCAAGCTGCAGTGTTATAATGGAATGGGCCGGAGAGCAGTCGTTCTTGGCCCTTAACAGATTGGACCGGTCTTGAATCTGTCGAGAAGATTCTAATTTTTTTAGATTTACTTGTAGTTGTACATATTTCTATTATAATATATATATATATTACCTAAAAATGATGTAAATGTATTTTAAAGTGTAATCACATAAATTTCAAATTAAATTGTCCGTATTTTCATGTAAAAAAAAAAAAAAAAATGACAAACAACATTTTAACAGATTTTGATATCAATTTCAGTTAATATAAATTCTTAAAGGGTCAGCATATTATATTACAAATTTTTTTAGCAAATTTATAAAATAAAATTTGCTAATTCATTCATTACATTTAAGTTCAATTGTACATAAGTTGATGAGTTGACATTAATGATCAATAATTAGTGTTATAATTTTGTAACTTCACTCAGGTTTACTAAATTATACTTGGATTAATATCTAATAGTTTGTATTATAAATTTGTGTTAAAAGTAACTTATTATTAAAATTTAAAAAAAAAAAAAAAAGTGGTGGGAAAGAGAAATAAGATATTTGTAAGCTGGCGTCTAGCGTGTTCTTTTTTTTATAGTAAAAGAGCATAAGGAGGATCTAACATGATTTCTCAAATTTGAGTTATTTTGAAGTAAAAGAGCAAGAGGATCTAATATGATCTTCCAAGTTTGAGTCCCCATAGTTGCTAATAAGGGTGACCATTGAAGTTTGTATCAACTCCGATAGTTCCTAGATCCCAAAGGGTAAGCTGGTCCAAACACCTATAATCATATTAAAAAAAAGAGAGATATTTGTAAATAAATTATAATAATTGAATTATGGAAAATTCTCTTTATTGTTGTAGTAGTGCAGTTATAAGTAAAATGAAAGTTGATATTTTGTTTTTAAAAGTGAGGACTGAGTAAAATCTAATTGGTAATAAAATACAGTCAAAAGAAGACACGTAGGTGGTGTATTTAAAAATTAAAATAGAGGTTGTTGAGTCACGAGATAAACCAAATATCACATTACCCCTCAAAAGCGTCCCACGCCAGAGAGACGTTAGACATTGTAACGGCTATATTTCATTTAAACTTCAAAACAATTATTTTCATCTCTTTCCATTTCAAGAACACCATTACAGCTATCTCTCTCTTTCTCCTCTCAAGTCTGAACTCTGCTTTTTCGAAAGGTTCTCTTTCAATCTCTTAAACTCAGTTGAAATTTTAATTCAATCTTGAATCATCTTACTCTTTGGTATATACCCAATCAATCTTGAAGTTTTCCTTCAAAAACCCTTGAAACAAATTCTGGCTCTCACCAAAAATGGCTCCAACACCGTCATCTTCCAAAGCAAACCAAACCCAATTCAAAACCCCGCAATCAAAACACCGCCTTAACTTCACTTCAGCGAGAACCACAGCGCACCCATCTCCAAACCCTAACTCTATAGCCAAAGAAGCCCCACCACAAGAACACCCTATAGAAGTTATTGGAAGAATACGAAACTTTCCCATTAACAACACCAAAGAAAAAGAAAAACCCGTTTCATTCTTGCAAATCAACCCAGATAAACAAACCGTGAGATTGAAGGCTGATATTGGGTACAGAGATTTTACTCTTGATGGGGTTTCTTTATCCGAAGAAGAGGATCTTGATTGCTTTTACAAGAAGTTTGTGGAGTCAAGAATCAAAGGAGTGAAAATGGGGGATAAATGTACAATAATGATGTACGGACCAACTGGTTCTGGCAAGAGTCACACAATGTTTGGGTGTGCTAAGCAAGCAGGGATTGTGTACAGGGCTTTGAGGGATATTTTGGGGGATGAAAAGGAAGGCAGTAGTGATGAGAATGGAGAGAGATTTGGGTTTGGGACATTTGTTCAAGTAACTGTTTTGGAGATTTATAATGAGGAGATTTATGATCTTCTGTCAAGTAATGGTGGGGGTGGATTGGGGATTGGGTGGCCTAAAGGCAGTGGATCTAAGGTAATTTTGTGATAATTTTTTTTCTTCAAATACTTGATTATGAAATTTTTCTTGAATATAAATGTGTTTCTGTACGAATGTGTTGTTTTTGTTGATAGTGTTTCTATGATTTCTTGTTTTCAGAGTGATATTGCATTTATCTCATTTTTGTGAAATACTTCAAATATTAACAATACATTTAATAATTTTCGGAAATTGCTGTTGGATGATTATTAATTTCCTTAGAGAAGACGATCCTTGTTATTTTTAGGATAATATGACACTGTTGTTTGAGTTATATGAAACAGAAACTTTCTTTGTTTATTGGAGATACTGTTTGGAATTTAAGTTTGAGTATTAAGTTAAATAAGCTTTTGAATTGATTGATTTTTTTTTTTTTTTTTTTTTCTGAGTTATTGATGAAATTGCATTACATTAAAGTTCAGATGGCAGAGTTGGTCCGTGCAGACTCTTCTTATAATTTGAATTAAGTCTAGGATTGTTATCAATTTGTGTCAAAAGTACAAAAAAATTCTGGCTTTTTTGGGTTCCACCCAAGGCCTAAAGTTCAACCATAATTGGTTTAGAAGATTCAATAAGTTCTTCATCCCTTGGTGTCTTTTAAATTTTATTGCAAACTAATATGGAGCAAGATGCTGTCTAATCAGGGTCTACCCATAATTCAGGTCAAAATTGTATCAACATGTATTTTGGAACTTTAAACCCACTTAATCTTTATTCAATGCGGTGCCGTTGGCCGCATACTAGCTTTTAATTATATTACTGATACAGTTCATCTGCATATTTGATTTCATATCTTTTATTTGTTGATATAAATGATACCAACTCTTTCCTTACAGGCCACTAATTATAAGCATTATTTTTTGTTTTGGACAATAAATTTTAGGTAAGGCTTGAAGTAATGGGGAAAAAGGCAAAGAATGCAACCTTCATATCTGGAACTGAAGCCGGAAAGATTTCCAAGGAGATTCAGAAAGTGGAGAAAAGAAGAATTGTAAAAAGCACTCAATGTAATGAGAGAAGTTCACGAAGCCACTGCATGGTATAATGCTTGCTGAACTTGTCTACAATATTGCCACAATTATACTTGTTGAAATTTATTCAGGTCTTACAAAGTTTTTTGATGTTTGAGAATAACTTGACACATATATATATCCACAGATAATTCTTGATGTCCCAACAGTAGGAGGACGGCTGATGCTTGTTGACATGGCTGGTTCTGAAAACATTGATCAAGCTGGTCAAACTGGATTTGAGGCGAAAATGCAGGTACTCTATCAAGACTATCTGTTAATTGCATCTTCCTGGCCTTTTTCGATTTTTGTACTTAAAAAAAATCATCTCACAGTAATTCACTGCCAACTCTGGATTGCCTGAGTTTTTTGGTTTTTAAACTTTTTCTATCAATTAACATTGATCTATGCTTCCCTGGAAATCGCAGACAGCAAAGATCAACCAAGGAAATATAGCATTAAAGAGAGTGGTTGAATCCATTGCAAATGGTGATTCTCATGTTCCTTTCAGAGATAGCAAATTAACAATGCTTCTACAGGTGGGTTCCACTAATAATTCTGCAACTTTTCACAAGGTTTTTCTGCCATTTTTGTTTGATGAGTTTTTCCCTTTTTCTTCAGGATTCTTTTGAGGACGATAAATCAAAAATCTTAATGATTCTGTGTGCAAGCCCGGATCCAAAGGAAATACACAAGACTGTCTGTACCCTTGAGTATGGTGCAAAGGCAAAATGTATCATTCGTGGGCCTCATACACCAATCAAGGATAAATTTGGCACTGAAGATTCTTCATCTGCAGTCATTTTGGGATCCAGGATTGCTGCCATGGACCAGTTTATCTATAAGCTGCAACTAGAGAATAAGCTCAGAGAGAAAGAGCGCAATGAAGCACATGAAAAGCTCTTAAAGAAAGAAGAAGAAGTTGCTCGGTTGAGAGAAAAACTCCAAGTTGTGGAAGGGAAGGAACCTGAAGTAAGTGAACAAGAGATCAACCTGAAGGTAACAGAACGAACTCAGGATCTCAAACGTGAGCTGGAGAAGAAATTGGAGGAGTGTCAGAGAATGGCTGAGGAGTTTGTTGAAATGGAGAGGAGAAGAATGGAAGAAAGGATACTGCAACAGCAGCAGGAAGTTGAAATGCTGAGAAGGAGGTTAGAGGAGATTGAGTTTGAGCTTCGCCATTCAAGGGATCAAGAGGTTCGTGGTTCAAGGGACTTAGATGGAAGCAGCTTTGCCAGAAGGCTAATGGGCATTTATGCAGACGAGGACCCAGGGATGGTAAAATCAATGGACCTAGACATGGGTGATGAGCCATCTACTCGTGAAGTGAAATATGTATATGGGAATTTTAATCAAGTTGATAGTACCAATATCCAAGGCTTTAACAATTATCCTCATTCAAAAACTGCTGCTGAGGTTTTAGATCCCAATGTTTTTACATCTAAATATGGTGACAAAGTAGTGTTTTTGAGCACTGTATATGAGGAGGAAGAAATAGAAGAGGAGGAGGAACATAAAGAGAATGTGGAGGATGAAGAAGTGGAGAAGGTTATAATAGAGGAAAAGAAGGTGTGTTCGAGCAGGATGGTTGACGAAAGTAGCCCTGGTATTAGTATTACTGCTGGCTCCTTGGCATCTTCTCCTCAAAAACTTTATTTGACATCTGGTGAGCCTGATAATTCGAAGGATGCAGTGTCCTCCAGAAGAGTAAGAATTCAAAATATTTTTACCCTTTGTGGAAACAACAGGGAGCTCTGTCAACAGACAAGAACTCCAGTGCTTGCAAAATGGAGTACTGAAAACATTGATCCTCTTGCATCTCCAATTGGGGAGTTTTCCTCGGTAAGACTTTGGACTGAAACTCACTATACATATTCACAATTTTACTATTACATCTTCACAATTTTGTTTATGCTTTGTATATGAAGTTCTAATGGGGTTCACTTGCAATTTATGCAGGATCCTACTACAGCTCTAGTCCTGAAAGAGAAAGAAACATCAACACTGGCTACCAAACTTCCATTCGGAAACCTGTCAAATGGCCAGCTTGCTCCACTGCCATTAAGTCCAATTCAGAACACACTGCCTCTCACACCAAAGCAAAGTGATTGTCAATCTCCCAAGGTAGGTCCACATCTAAGTCCAACACCATTCATTACTCTTAGAAAAAATAAGGTTTGATGCTGAGTGATGAATATGCACATTTCTATTCAGCTGATGTGTTGAATGAAGTGCAGTTTTATATATTGACATTTGTACTTGGTGCTAAAATGTTGTTTTGTTGATATAATGGGAACAACAAGCTTGTATACCAATTATATAGATAGCTTGCTTTTGATGGTATATCAATGTCAACTTTTTTATGTTTACTCAGTTTCAGTTGGTTACTTGGTTATTTATATTGATAATTTTTAGTTTTGAATGCAACTTATTACCTAGCTTGAAGGATTACCAAAAAAAAAAAAAGAAGTTTCCAGTGGAATGTTGTCGGATAATCTGGGATGGGAACTGTATGCAGAATTATTCTTTATAAAATATAGAGGGGGTAATTTGCTAAGTTGATGGTAAATTAGGATGTGCTTAATGGTTGCAAACATCTAGGGTACAATTTAGTTACATGATAAAAACTTCTTATTGCTGATTCAGCCTTCTGGTTCTGTAGAACTTGCCACATGAGATTGAGCTAGAATCAGGAATGTCAAATACTCAAATGATCTAGTGAATTATCTTATTATTTGACAACACAAAAAATTAGGCCGCTTACAATTAGTTTCGTAAATATAATTCCATTATTTTGAAGGCATCAATGAAGTATATATGAAACCATAGGCACTTGTCTGTGAAGAGTAATTCTTTTCATTTCGTTTATCATAATCTTGTTCAAAAGAGTATGATATGTTCGTTTTTCAAATTAGGAAAAACAAAATGTGTTACAACCTGGCTTTTAGAGATGGACTTGGGATCGAGTGAAGGGGCGAGTTGGTGGTTGAGTGGGTTTGGGTTTCTTCTTTGGTCGTTAAAGGGATCCAATCCCTGCTGTACACAGCTTTTTTGGAGATAAATTAATTCTATATATGCCTTGCATTCATTCATTCTCCTTTTTATAGACTCTAATACAACTGACTCAACTACTAGCACTTTGCCCACTAAACGGACGTGGGTTACTTGTTAAAGACTAGGAATTAAACTGACTCAACTACACCCACTTTGTCTACAACATGGACGTGGGTTATTTGCTAAAGACTAGGACTTGAACATGGAAAATGCAAAAGACTCATGCATAAAGTAAGGCATTACCACACAACCAACACCATCCTAACAAATTGGTTCGTAACAAAATGTCTTAAGAATCTTTAACACAAAGCAAATCTTTTACAACAGACTAGACATTGCTCAACCGCTTCTCCATGTGTATCTGGGGCAGCAGCATTGCTGAGGAAAAGAAACTTCATCCATTAGCTAGTACCGCATGGATGCAATTAGTACCATGGCCTGTTCAAGTATGGATGCGACTACAATCAACAAAATATTTACATTAATATTCCCAGGAGCTAAACATCATATTCAACATTTCATAAAATCCTTTTACAAGTGACAAATAAAACTCCATCCAATCCAGTAGGCATATAAAAAAGATGGGCAAAGAAGAGAGCAAACATGAGATAAAAGAAATGTGTAAGATGATCCCATGACCATTTCAAGAAAGGAAATGAAAATGCAACATAAATCTTGAGAAGGAAAAAGTGATTACATCATATATCTTAGGTCTTACTTTTGACTTTTAAAAACAGTAATACCTCCACCAAATAAGCTTTCATGATGCACGAAATGGCGAAAGTAGATGTATGAAGTTTCTGCAAACCAGAAATCTCATCTCAAAAAGTGATGGATTCTACAGGGGGGGAAAAAATCTATCAACCAAATATAGTTATGGACAGACAGCAAAATCCCACCAGTATAAGAGATCTTGATAGTCTGGGCTCTGATCCTCTGAACAATAGTTTGGTTGTCCTGCTTCATTAACTTTGCATGCAGTTAACAAAACAAGGACATTCCTCTTTTATCTATTCTTGTGATCCCAGAAATGCCAAACAATTCATATTTTCGTATTTGAATATAGGCCTATCCATACTTCGGTTAAAATAGTCTTTTGAGATTTATTTACCATCACATAGTCAAATGACATCTCTAAAATGACTCTCAATATTATACCATACAAGATCACTCAATTTAGTACATAGTACAATAAAAAAACAATACTAGGTTGAGCTAAATCTTTGTGAAAATAATTTTAATATATTTTTTTATCCAAAATCATGTGACAACATTCCAATAGAAGCTTATTGGTAATTGTAATTTTCCCTAATACATTAAAAATGAACCAGCAACATTCAAATGTAATATGATGGTAAAATGTGATCCCCGTTTTGGTATTACTGTCAAGCATAGAATCTCTTTTAAATTACACAAGGGTTAAAACGGGAACCATGTTTCGACATTATTGTCACGGATAGAATCTCTTACAGATTTATACATAATGCTTATGCCGTGCATTCAAATGATACAACTTAAATAATAATATATGTGCGCGCTCTATAACTATTTTGCATTGTGATTTACAATCAGAATGGCAAATTTTACAGCTGAAATGACCCTCAATATTATTTCAAATGCATGATCGTATCAATATAATTCCACTCAATAGCACATCATATCAAGAAAAAACACCATTCGACTCAATCATCTCTAATCTAATCCCAGTCCAATCCATCCCAAAATATTATCTAGTCTTATTGACATTCCCCTCAAAGGTGTCTAACCCTTACAGCAAGGTTACTACAGTAGAGTTTACATTCAGAACCGGAAAATGGCCATCAATATAAATAACTGAAGCAGCTGAAACTTAAGATAAAAAAAAAAAAATGAGTTGCTTCAAGGAAATTGATATACCATCAAAAGAAACATTATTATCTACGTAATGCATATACCATCAAAAGAAACATTATTACCTACGTACTGCATATACAGCTGCAATACAACTTGCACTTGCTCCCGCAATGAACAAAAAAAGCATTTAAGTACAGAGTAAAAATTTGTATATACTGAAAATTCCATCCACTTCATTCACACAGACCTTTTATCTTCTCAGAGTAATAAGGGCTGTACAACGAAGATGTGGAGTTACCTTGGGGAATAGACAATCACCTTGAATTGGGATGAGAAGCAGTTTGTTTTTCGGGGAAGACAGGGCAATGCAAGATTTAGCACAGACATTCATCCCATGTCTACGCCTACCCACATATATTATAATTTGATATTCACAATAAGTTTCACTCACTAACCACATTATTTATTAAAGAAAACATTTTCAGTAAAAAGCCGTTTTTGTGAAAAAAAAAAAAAAAAAAATTTCAAGTCAACAGTCAGGAGAAGGGTATAAGATCCAGGAAGATACGAGAGTTACTAGTTGCAGATGTTATCTTCTATGTCTATCCGCTAGGCACTTAGAGTAGAAGTTAGTAAAAAGTTATGTATGTTGAACAACATCAACAAGTTGATTACTTGAATCGCTACTGATGGAGAGAACATTCAAACCTGAAACCACTACCCAGAATGCTTAAATATCCATTGATTTCCAGTTGACAAGGCAGCACCAATCACATTTAAATTGCTCATAGAAAAGAGTGTGAACTGAATTTTTGCCAACGCTTGACCAGTTATTTTGCATTAAGGATTGACATTTAACACAAAGGAATTACCAAAATTGTTAGATCGACCTGAGCATGTTCTATGGAATCTGACAATGTTATTATAGTCTAAGATGAGAGTTCTGAACGAGCATAATATTGTAGAAACAAAAAATTCTTACTTCTAGTAAAAATATATCCTGGAAAAAGAGCAGGATGGAAAGAATATCATCTATGAATCTGACCTTCGGTATTAACAAATTGATCAATCTCAAGCATTCTGAAAATTAAGATCCAAGTCCAGCCATCATGAGAAAACATATCCATTCGAAACTATAGCACAATGGAAAGTCGATTAATTAGGTGCATTTAAAGTCAAGTGTTTAAAGCATTCAAAGTTCAATCTCAGAGCTTTCTGGAAAATGAAAACAACATCAACAGCACATATTCATTCCAAACCGTGGCATAATTGAAACACCATGCCATACAGGCACTCTGGACTGCTCAACATCAACTAGTTTAAGCATTCAAAGTAGGTGACTGTAGCGACTTACACATTGAAAAAAAAAATGCATTAATGCGCACATGATACTACCAAATCCAGAAGTTTTAATATGGTAGAATAAGTGACGCATGACCTATAGCAGAATATTCAACAAAAAGATAAGATTGCAAGAACCTGTCTTATCAGGATCTTCACATTTGTTGGATGACTCATTATAGCAGTTGCTTTATAAGCCTTCTTCAGCTCATCTTGATTTGCATTTTCAAGACACCGAGAATCCCACAATACTAGGTGTTGCGACTCTTTCTTGGTCCATGATAGAATAACATCGAGGCCAGCAAAATAAATTCCGCTAATCCACAAAGACAACTACAAAGTAAGGAACTGGTGAATAAACACATATGCCCAACTGGAATTGTATATTACCATGCATATTGATCCTCGGAAAACTTGTATAGAAATTTGATGTTGAATTTACGGGTATTGGTAGCACAACAAAAGCCTTTTGTTTTGTCATTTCTGATTTCGTGAAAGAAAATTATAAGGTAAAATCACAGATTATTTTGCGCAAAAGAGCATATTAAAAATGCAATAATCAAGCCCCAAAAGAATTATTGAATAAACAAGCTTCATAAATTAATGACTCGAGTAAAGCTGGGAGATTAATGGTTTGTAAGTAGCTTGGTACACTTTTAGCTTCTTTGTCTTCCAATTTCCCAAAATATAAATATCGAACGAGAACCTAAATTAAAAGCTTCAAATCAATACAAAAACCTGTATTTTAGTCTCAAAACTCGAGTATGGAACCTATATTAAGATTGTTTGTGGATATTTGTTCTTTTACTTGCTTTCTTCTTTGGGAAACAGAGTATGGAACTGTTCAACCTTTCGACTTTCTTCACGAAAAAGTATATTTTATTTATACTTATTTTCTTAGTTCGTTGTGTGGGGCAAGAGCTGGTTGTACTTATGCACTTGTTTTATGGGTCCGTAATTAGTTTTAGTGATCCATTAGTTTTATGGATCCATCATACATTGGTCCCTGACCTGATGGATTGGTGGGTGGTTTCGCGGAAACTTCAGCAAAAGTTAAGTTTAGTTTTCCAAGACTCTCCCTAAACACATCTTATATATAAACTCCCTTTGGCTCTCTTTTACTCACAGTCACACTCCCCTCTTTTACTTTGCAGGTTTGTTAAGAGATAGTGACCGGGGTTTGTTCTGTCAGATCTTGATCAGAACTTTGTTTGAAGTTTGTCAGAGCTTGACCAGAAGAATTTGATGATGTGTGAAAGATGATTTTGTTTTGTCAGATCTTGACCAGAAGAATTTGATGATTTTGTTTTGTCAGATATTGACAAGAACTTCGTTTGAAGTTTGCCAGAAGAATTCCCGGGACCACCAACCCCCAACAAAGGGTGAGTGGTTTTGGATACCTTATATTTTTTTGGGTTTGGGAAATCAGAATCACAACCGTACAGTAC